CAGCAACCTCGACAATATACTGACAGCATACCATCCAGCGACATACTACCACCGACTCATTCCTTTGACCTTACTCGGCATTGGTTTTCGATAGGTCACTTCCTATGTCTTAGGCCTCGAGAATAGATCTCCTTTCTCTTCTCCCGACAACAGAACCTCTTCCTAGTTGGAGAGGCTTTCGTGTCTATACCCCGAACACCCACCATGAAGGTCACAGCTGCCATCGGCCTTCTTGGCCTGGCTGCCGCTGCGGCCGGCGCAAAGCATACGCCTCGAAACTACGAAACCAACGATTACTATGTCCTCGAACTCGACTCTTCCACGGCCCCGGATCTCGTCGCAGAGCGCCTAGGCCTGAGGCACGAGGGAGAGCTGAGCGGCCTTGACGGCCACCACGTCTTCGCTGGGAAAAGGGTAGAACATGATGTTGTCAAGCCCGAGCTCCAGGCGAGTCGAAGAAGGAAGCGCGACCTCGACGGATTCGATATACTCGATGGTGTTCGCTTCGCGCAGAGACAAGTCCCACGTGCACCGTGGGAGAAGAGGGCGCCGCCGCCCGTTATGAAGCCGGAGCCACAACCGGCTGTTGTGCGGCAGGAGGTGGACGCTGCTCTCGCGCAGCAGCAGCAGCAGCTCATGAAGACGTTGGGCATCAACGACCCCATCTTCGATGTGCAGTGGCATCTTTTCAACCCGGTTCAGAAGGGCCACGACATCAATGTGACAGGTGTCTGGATGGGGGGCATCACCGGCCAAAACGCGACCGTGGCCATCGTCGACGACGGCCTTGACATGTATAGCGGCGACTTGAAACCCAACTACTATGCTGCCGGTTCCTACGACTTCAACGATCACAGGGATGAGCCGAAGCCTACCCTGGCCGATGACAGGCATGGCACAAGGTGCGCCGGCGAGGTTTCTGCCGCAAAAAATGACGTCTGCGGTGTCGGTGTCGCCTACGATTCTAAGATCGCTGGGCTGCGTATTCTGAGCAAGCTCATTTCCGACGCTGACGAGGCCGTGGCTATGACCTATGACTACCAGCACAACGATATTTACTCTTGCTCATGGGGCCCGCCTGACGACGGCCGCTCCATGGACGCGCCCGGAATCTTGATCAAGCGCGCCATGCTCAAGGGCATCCAGGATGGACGCAACGGCCTCGGCTCCATCTACGTCTTCGCAAGCGGCAACGGCGCAGCCAAGGAGGACAACTGTAACTTTGACGGCTACACAAACTCGATCTACAGCATTACAGTTGGTGCCGTTGACCGAACTGGTCAGCACCCATACTACTCCGAGAAGTGCTCCGCGCAAATGGTTGTGACATACAGCAGCGGTGCCGGCGATTCTATTGTAAGTTGTGCCCACTGCGTCGGATCTGCTCTTGCTAACTAACAATCCAGCACACCACCGACGTCGGCCCAGATGCGTGCACCGACGCACATGGAGGTACATCGGCGGCTGCTCCCATTGGTGCTGGAGTCTATGCTCTGGTTCTTTCTGCGAGGCCTGATCTGTCGTGGAGAGACATGCAATGGCTTGCCATGGATACTGCTGTGCCTATCAACTTGGACACTGGGGAATGGCAGGATACGATAATCGGCAAGAAGTTCAGCCACACTTTTGGTTACGGCAAGATTGATGCTTACGCCATGGTCGAGGCCGCCAAGACCTGGAAGAAGGTCAAGGCCCAGGCCTGGTACTATTCGCCCTGGGTTCACGTCAACACTGCCATCCCTCAAGGCAAGGATGGCCTGGCTGTTTCCCACGAGGTCACTTCCGATGCCCTCAAGCAGGCCAATCTGGCTCGCGTGGAGCACGTTACCGTCACCATGAATGTCAACCACACTCAGCGGGGTGACTTGAGCGTGGACCTGATCAGCCCAGATGGCATCGTCAGCCACATTGCGACAACCCGCAAGAATGACAAGGATGCGAATGGCTACGTCGACTGGACCTTCATGAGCGTGGCTCACTGGTGTGTCTCCGTGCAATAGGTCCGATCTTGTGCATCGTAAGCTAATATGTTTCTAGGGGTGAAAAGGGGATCGGCAAATGGACTGTTATCGTCAAAGACTCTGTGAGCAACCAGCACCAGGGCACCTTCACCGACTTCCACATCAAACTTTGGGGCGAGTCGATCGACGAGAAGAAGGCTACCAAGCTCCCAATGCCCGAGGAGAGTGACGACAACGACCACGCCAAGATACAGACGACCACCGTGGCTGCAGCTACGACCTCTGTCAGCCACCCACCTCAGGATACAGGCTCTCTGGAGGCGCACCCGACTGACCACCCTGACCGACCGGCCAAGGTCAAGACGACCACGACGGCTGGGGCTGAGGCTACCCTGGAAACCAGTGCCGCGACACCTGCGCAGACGAGCGCATCTGTCCCCTCCGGCATTCAAGGGGCTCAAGGGGCGCCGACGAACAGCAACTGGATATCCTGGCTCCCGTCTTTCGGTGCCTCCGCCAAGGCTCAAGTTTGGATCTATGGCGCCCTGGCGCTTATCGTAGCTTTCTGCTCGGGTCTTGGAATATGGTTCTTCATCGCTCGCCGCCGCAAGCTGCGCAACAGCCCCCGCGATGACTATGAATTCGAACTCCTGAATGAGGACGAGTCTGAAGGCCTCAACCGCGGCGAGAAGGGCGCCGCCGCTATTGGCAAGGGCCGTCGCACCAGGGGTGGTGAGCTGTACGACGCCTTTGCAGGCGGCAGCGATGATGAGGAGGAGTTTGTGGGTGAGGGGTACCATGACCAGGAGCGGTCAAGATCCCGCGAGGGTCGGAGGCGGGTGAGCGGTGACGATGAAGAACAACATGTCATTGGCGATGACAGTGACGATGAAGTTGTGGATGAGAAGCAAAGACTGGGAGGTGGCCGTCAGATTTGATATCCCTACGAAACTGAAAGTGTGGCCTTGGACGATGATAGAGGGAAAGCAGCAGTCTTTTCGCGTTCTGCTGGGTATTCTGTACAACGGCATCTCGCTGTTGGGTAATCGGGTTATTCTTGCATGTGCTCAGCCACAAGGCTGGAAATGGAGCAGGCGTTTGCATCTTTTCTCCATGGAACCTACAATTATGTCTTACCACGCAATGGATGAAGTATTTGAGACTATGAAGCATGTATTACCTGGAGTCTTAGTCGATTCTTTCATGTACATGACTGAGCCACCCGCAAGACGGTGAACTCATTTCAGTGCCTCACAGAGTTGGTAGATGAGCACGATGTGAAGCAACTTGTGAAGAATAAAGTTGTGTCGTCTACTGTGGTAACTCGAGGAAAGGGCAAAAATTCGATTCTCTTGTGGAAACCAGAAGTGTCTGACACGAGCTTTCTGAGTTGTGTGACGCCCAAGACCAAAGGGGGCAGCCAGCGAGACTCCAGTCGCTTGGGCTCCGAAAAATGGTTGAGCGACAAAGTCTCAGATGAGCCTCTGTTCCTGCAGCCTCGAGCGCGACATCGAGCGGCAAGCTAGTAATGGTGGCTTTTTCAACACAACCCGACCAACAACTCGGGTGGCTGGGAAAGACGTGCAGCAGGGGGTGACGACGCCAGTGTTAGGGGATCTCACCGTCGCTGCACGCTGGGGCCCACAGCCGACCTGCCCTTGTAGAGCCAGCCGAGGGGTGCAAGCCCTGTACTGCGCAGTGCTGCATTGTGTATCTGCGTCGTTCCGTCTCTTCGAGATGCCATGATCGCCGAAGATACACTATGTGCATGCGTTTACCAGTGCGTCGGGGAGGACAAGCAGAACATGTCTCTCGATATAGCAGACTGTTACACCACATACTTAGTCAGTCCAGCTGCAACTGGATGACATCCCCATCGACAGGTCTCAGAGCGAATGGGCGAGATATCAGAATCCCGGTGCATGCGCCTGTGACGTGTCTAAGAGCCATATGCTTGTCGTCATGCCACCTCCGATGATAGTGCAGAGGCGTCAATGCGTACTTCCCATGCCCAAGGTAGATACCTAACTTAGGTGGGTTGCAGCGGTGTGCGAGCCACGAGACGCACGTATGCGTGCATGTACCAACATTGTGTGAATCAACTGCTGAGCGTACCTCAAGCCATCAATGAAGAGGTAACGAGCAACAAGACGGCAACCTCTGGCTTCCCGTGCTGATAGCGTAGAATGCACCTGGGGCCAGACAACATGCGGGGAGGGGCCGCGTAGTTAGTGGGCAAGGCTAGCTGCCCGCGCTGGGTACGCTTGCTCCCGTCGACGTCCCGACCGCCTCTTCTTTCCGTCTTCGCACGTTGCCGCTCTGTAGCGTCAACGGAGCCTGTGCCCCATCCAGCCCACCTGCGCCGTCGCGCGGTGGGGGCCGGGTCGGTGTTTCCCTTCGATCCTACCTAGTCACGATCCTGGCTTCCTGGCCAGCTCCCCCCCCCCCCTCCTTCCCCTGCCCAAACTCATTACCCAAGCTCCGGCAGGAACTGCCCTGGTCAGCTGCCTTCCCTGTTCTTTTCTGCCAGGGTGCCTGCTCTTCGCGCTTCAAACGAACAATGACGGCGTAGCGTGCAGCCCAGCCTGGCGTCAACCTGGCGTCAACCTCGCTCTTTTCCTGCAAGCTTCCTATTCTTCTTCCCGGTGACCAGCCTCTTCCTTATGCAGGCGACGCCGTCTGACCGTACCGCCAGACCTTTTTGCTTTTCCAACCCTTTGGCTTCGAGTCGTTTGCTGCGCGCCCCCGTCCCGTCGGCGATCATCATACTTAGCAAATACTACCCCTACGATATCCTCTTTACGTCCTATCTCCATCGCTTCGCATGTGTCTGCACCGCATTGGCTCACTTCTCACCACTCTCGCTCCGCCTCGCCTGGGCTATGGGAAGCTGCATGTCGCCTCGTAGGCCGGGCCATTCTTCCACGCTTCTCCCGCAGACCGTCTAGGGTTCATTCGGCCCTCTTGGACTGACCTCTGTACGCCCAATCTGCACATCCACTGACCCAATCATCTACTTCTCCCTCATCCTCGGGATCCATGCCCAATCCTGCCACCCAGCCATCTCCAGAGCACATGGCCACTCCCTACTGGGGCGCCTTGCCCAAGGGTCCAAGTACCGCCCGCCGCGCCTCTGGTGATGATCATGTCCTCGACGACCAGCCACCGCTAAACCCCATGGATCCCTTCTCTAGCTCGAGTGCCCCCCAACAACAACCTCGACGAGACCGCGCCTCAGTCCAGACAGCACGCACTGGCTATACTGAAGCTCCCACCGAGTCTACCTTGAGCCCCTTTGTCTCGCCTACGAGGTCAAGCTTCGCACCGCAAGGACTTGCGCCGCGGCCTCCAACCTTACCCTACGGCTCGTCTGGATACGCCGACGAGTTTGCCGAGAAGCGACAGCGCCGTCGAAGCTTGAAGAACGAAGAACAGATCGACAGGACAGTTGGACCCACGCCACCTGCTGCGCCTGACGTCCCTCGAGCTCCTCCCGTGAGCTATCGTCAGCCGTACACCCAGAGCGTCCAACCTGTCGGACCTCTGGCATCCCAGCGTCAAAACGTCCCTCCCGTAGATATCGACGACATGGAGCCCGAGGCCTACTACAAGGCGGATGGCCAGCAAAACTACCCGCGCACTGAGCGTTCACAAGGAGCCTCACGCCCGGCTGGTCCGCCCAGAGATGCCCGACATGAGAGGAGGAGGTCCTCGGCGACGAACACTCTACCCCTCAATGGTGCTGGGGAAGCATTGGATCCTGCCAACCAGCCCACCAGGATACCAAGTGGTCGGAAGGTCTCTACAGACATCCGCTCGCCCCTCCAGCATTTAGAGACTGTTCTCAGCAAGGAGGAGAAGCGTGCTCGCATGGAAGCCGCTGAACAGAGGGCACGATCGAAAGCGAATGCCGATCCAAAGTTGCTGCAGCCGAATGCGCAACGAACGCAGCCCCGACAGCCCAGGCCACAACCACAGCAAGCCCCAGTACAACAACCACAGCAAGTCCGATTCAGCAACGATCGGGACCCAGACATTTATGAAGACACCCCGGCTCGTGGTCCTCCACCGGTGATCGCGGTCGCGGCAGCCCCGGCAGCTGCAGGCTCTAGAGGATATCCTCCACGAAAAGCCCCAGAAGACGGAAAGTATCCATCTACCGCCTCTCAGCAAAACCGTAGACCTCCCGAGCCCGCGTACCCAGATGTGCATCAAACTCTGGAACACAGTTCAGGAATACCCCAGCGCAATCTCAGTTTCCGTGATCGAGCGCAGAAGGATGATCTGCGGTTGCCCAGCAGCAGCGTGAGGAATGAAAATGAAGCCAGTCCGCTCTCAACGCCGTCAGTCACGACGCCCGGTGGTGGCTTCTCTCTCACCAGAACCGGCAGCAACAAGTTGAAGAAGGAAAAGCCTGGCGATCCATGGTTCAGGGTAAGGCAGCAGGCGGAGCAGCAGTACAGCAACGCGGATACGCGAAATCTCTCCATGGACAGGTCAGCCGCTGCCACAGGCGGTAGCGCAGGCCCAGCGCAGCGATCAGGCTCTTTACAGGGCCAACAGTACCCTCGAGATCCCAGTATCCCCCCCGAGCAGGCCGGGCGGGCCGGCGTACCCAGCAAGGCTGCGAGACTGATCGGTATCGACATGGGCGGGGTCCAACGCAGGTCTACTGCACCAACAGTCAGGAGACAATCATTTGATCAATACGACGCTCCCCAGCGTGGACCAGTGCCGGTAGATGGAGCACCAGCCGTTGCGCTCCAGACCGGGCGGTACGCAGATGCGCGGCGACAGCGACGAAACGAGGATAGCGATTACAATTCCTCCGACGATGAGCGCGGTCACCATGTCTCGAACATGATCTACCGAAAGAAGGAGCATATGAGCCCTGGTCACGGACTGTACCTACCGCCTCAATGGCTTAAAGAGTGGCAGAAAAGCACGACTGGGCTTCTTGGAGGCTCGCTACTCGACCTCAGTCAAGAACAGCTTCCGGTGATTGATAAAACCACACCGTGGTGGGAAGGCGACAACACGAGGAGGCGGTCTAGTGTCAATTCGAGGCCACGCAAAGCTGAGGCATTCGACGGCGAGTACGACGAGAGATCAGGTGTGTATCTTCGCACGTCTTCTGCCAGAATATGCTCACTCATAACTGCAGCTCCCACTAGGTTTAAGCCATCTCTGCATCTCAAATGTGGTCCACTTCTGCGCTATTGCGGTATTCGACACGAGAAGGGCTTGGTCGGTCGCTCAACCAAAGCTGCTCCTGCGGATAGAGAGATTTGGAGAGGCACGGTCATGATTGTGACCCAAGACTCCCAGTCGTCATACGAAATTTCTCCTACACTTCGCCTATTCGTTCAACCGATAGAGCTGTTGCCTCCGCCTCCCCATGAGATCTCGGGCGAACAGCCACTAGCCCCTGAGTACGTTGACCCAATAGCAGGGTTACCAAAGCTAGGAAGGAGAGGAGAGACTTTGTACGTTCGCCCGGTGGAGCATCTTGAGGAAGCCAAAGACCTCTCCAGGGACGAGACAGACGAGGGTCTCTTTGAGACTTCGAGAAGCCCCCCCGACTACCCTGTAGCTGAGGGTGCCGTCGATCTCTCATACACCAGTCGGCGTGCCCGCGCCAAACTGGATGGCGAAAGAGTATCAAAGTACAAAGATGTGCGAGGATTCCGTCTGCATGCTGAGAGGGGTTACACCTTCTGGCGCTTCAACATTGAGGTTGAGCTCGGTGGAAAGCAGCAGCGCATCGCCTACCGGATCAACAGAGGTCCTGCTATGGGATTTTGGGTTCCTGCCAAGGGGCAGTCGATGAACATCATGTTCCACAGCTGCAATGGGTTCAGCATGAGTGTTAACCCCAACGACCTCAGCGGCCCTGACCCTATGTGGCGAGACGTTCTTAACAACCACCAGACCAATCCTTTCCACGTCATGATTGGAGGCGGTGACCAGGTCTACAACGACTGCCTGATAGGTCAAAGCGACCTTTTCAATGACTGGTTGGACATTCGGAACCCCCTACAAAAGCACAATGCGCCTTTCACACCGGCAATGCAGAACGAGCTTGAATCGCTCTACCTCGAGCGGTACTGTATGTGGTTCTCGCAAGGTCTCTTTGGGCTCGCCAACTCGCAAATCCCCATGATCAACATGTGGGATGACCACGACATCTCCGACGGCTACGGTTCATACCCCCACCATGACCAGAACTCGCCGTGCTTCTCCGGTCTAGGTGCTGTCGCATTCAAGTACTATATGTTATTTCAGCATCAGAGCATCCCTGTCGAGACCCCGTCCACGGAACCGAGCTGGCTCCTCGGCGAGAAGCCTGGGCCGTACATCAACGAGCTTAGTCGCAGCCTTTTCACGTCTTTGGGCTCCAAGGTTGCGCTCTTAGCCGTCGATGCCCGCACCGAGAGGACTGAGGATGATGTCATTAGCGAGGGATCCTGGAAACTGATCATGGATCGCTGCTATGCAGAAGTCAAGAGTGGCACCACGGAGCATCTGTTGGTGCTACTTGGAGTGCCCATTGCTTACCCAAGAATGGTGTGGCTCGAGAACATGTAAGCTTGGTGACTGTTACCACGAGTCGATCCCGTACTGACTGTATGTAGCCTTACTTCCAGGATTATGGATCCTGTCAAAGCTATGGGTAAGCTTGGTTTGCTTGGGAACGCACTCAACCGCATCGACGGCGGAGTTGAGGTGTTGGACGATTTGAACGATCATTGGACAGCCCGCAACCACAAGAAAGAGAGAAGTGTAGTCATCGAAGATTTGCAGGATCTGGCTGCAGACAAATCAGTGCGGATCACAATCCTCAGTGGCGACGTTCACCTCGCCGCCGTGGGACAATTCTACACCAACCCCAAGATCGGTCTCCCGAAGCACAAGGATTTCCGCTACATGCCGAACATTATCTCCTCTGCAATCGCTAACACGCCACCACCGAATATGCTTGCTGATGTCCTCAACAAGCGTAACAAGGTGCATCACTTTGACGAGAACACTGACGAGTCCATGATCCCCATGTTCTCGCACGGTGTAGACGGAAAGCCGAGAAACAACAAGCATCTGCTTCCACATCGCAACTGGTGCTCTATCCGCGAGTGGAAGCCAGGGATGACACCACCACCGACGCCTCCTCTTTCAAACTACGACGGAAGCCCCAGTCCTCCTCTCGCAAGAAAAGACAGCAACGGGGGTGTTATGCGGCGCCTGACCAAGACTCGTGGCCCTCAATACCGTCCTGACGCACCGCAGCAACGCGAATCCCGGCCGCCCATCACAGGCGAGAAGTCTGGTGGATTGTTCCGCAGGTTTTCGAGGCGCAGCTCATCCGCAGGGCAAGACACTGCGCGACCTGGTCAGCTTACTCGCACCATGTCACTGACCCGGGGTGACTTTAGTCCCCGCAAGTTCTTCAACCGGCGTCCCAGTATATCACGGCCGGATGATGGCGGAATCAATGGTCAATGGGGCGAAGCTGACGGGGAAGCCGACTTCTACCAGTACGATGATCCTCGCCGACCTCCTTCGCCGCCTAGGCAGCAGAAAGGTCTAGTCCTTCGTGGAGGCGGACGGCCTCAATTTGATGATCGACATGATGAATTCCAGCCTGGCGACGAGGACTACTTTACGGCTAGGGCACCTCCTCGTCCTCCCAAGCCGCCACACCAGCAACAGCTGTACCCACAAGGTTACCAAGAAGACGCACCACCTGAGCCGCCCATGCCGATCAGACCATTCCATCGAACGCCTACGGGGCTGAGTAGGAAGCAGACGGGAAAGGGGGTTGCTGGGGCACATGACATTGATCTTGAAGGTGGCCTTGACATCTGTCTTAACGTAGAGGTGAATCCTCGAGACCCAGCCGGTATCACAGTGCCATATCGTCTACTTGTGCCACGTTTGTTCTGGGAAGATTCCAAGGACGAAACGCCTCCAGTGGTGCAGCAGCCAGCTCCATCGGCCTTCAAACGATTGCTGAGCTTTAGGAAGAAGCAGCAAACGGGTGGTGGTCCAGTCAGCCCCCAACAGTCGAGCTCTGTGCCCGCGAGCCAGGAATATCTTGGGGGCCGTGGGGATGGCGGGCAGTGGGGGCCAGTAGCACGAGGCCCACAGCCGCCGGCTCAGCAGCATTACCACCACCAGGCGCCCCCTTCTCAGCAACAACAGCAGCAACATCAGCAGCAGCAGCAACAGCAGCAGCAACAACAGTATGGACAGCCAGTTCAGCGCCAGCACCATCATCACACGAGTCAGCAACAACAGCCTATGATGACTCGTGCTGGACTTTCACAGCCGTCATCTAGCCGGGCGGGCGGCTTCCCGCAAGCGCATGTTCCACCTCCACAGCACTACCAGACGCAGCCAGGCTCAGGAAAGCACGGCGAGATTGAGTATGAGGAGTATTATGATACGCCGGACGAGGATGCTGGACGTTCAAAGAGAAGATATTAAGGCTTGGTGGCGAGGGTTTGAAAACAACGCACGATTAGGGACAGGAGTTTTGCATCAATCAGAGGGTGTTGGGCATCTGCAAGGTAGCATACGAGGAGCGGTTGGTTCAGCAAGCTAGACAGCGGTAGCTCCCATTGCATACCTCATACACCTGAGGCACATGAATTGAGACAATATGGTTACCTATCTTGAAGCGTTGTGGAAGGGAAAATACGAAAGGCCAATCCCGGTGCCTGGTGTGTGGATGCTACGCGCTCCTGCTGTTGAGCTACGTACATACGAAGTGTGCAGCAGGAGAAGGACCAATACAGGGAAGTCGGAACATGTAGTTATTCGAGGCCACCAGATCACCATTGCTAAACGTTAAGCGATTCGGTTGGGCAGGCCATGTCACAATAGGACTCGGAAATGGCAACGACGGTTTCGAAATGAACGCAACCTTCCACCTAGGGCATCAAAATCGTTGGTTTTCCCAAGTGGCCGTTCGTGATCTGCACGTGAGCCTCTCTCATTGAACAACGACTTACCTAGGTCTCTTGCTGTCCAGTTCTTACACACATCAAGTCTCACTGGGGAGTCGCAGAAGATGGTGCAATCTGCAAATCCATGTTAGTCCACACAAGAACCCCACCATCAGCCATATCATCGCATCAGGACATACCTTGTGAATGTGCTATCATGCGCCGACATGTTGGACATGTCGGCTCAGACACGTATCCAAATCCCCCACCCCCGTCTCGTAGAGGATACGTGCTGCTCCAGGACCAAGAAGGCGCAGTCCGAAAGACTTGTGCCGGTCCTCCATTTTTCATCTCATCCTTTCTGTCTCTCCGTGTGGTGTTCCTCTTCATCATCGTCTGCTTTTCCGTCTTTCTCGCAATGTCTAAACTCGGCTGGGCTTCACGCGAGCGGACGTTGGAGAATTACTCGGCATCGACTTCCGCCGCCTTGTCGGCCCCGGCAGCGACGCCCGGTGTCCTGCTGCGGCTTCGGCTCCTCCCCCTCCCGCGGTTCTGGGCGCGAGCCCTGCCACCGCCTCCTCCTCCGCTGCCGCCGCCACCTCCGTGGCGGTCGCTGTTCTTCCCTGGCGGGGGTCGCACAAAGGCAAAGTCGACGCTGATGCTCTGGTCAAGCAGCTTGGCCTTGTGCGCGTCGTCAATGGCGGCGCGGGCCTCGGCGAGCGTGGCGTACTCGATGAGGGCGTAACCCTGTAATCACGGGAGAGTGTCAGTGCTCTCTCTCTCTCTCTCTCTCCCCCCCCCTCTCTCGCTCTTCTCAAGGGTACAGCGAACGGAAGGGCGTCAGCAGAGGGCCGTTCTCACCTTGACGTAACCGCTCCGCCGGTCGAGGGGCAGGTGCAGGTTCTTGATCTCGCCGTACTCGCCAAACATGTCGTGCAGGGCCTCCTCGTCGGCCTCCTCGTGGACGTTGGTCACGATGACGATCCAGCCCTCGATCGAGCGGACGGCCGTCGCGCGGCCGTGCGTCTGCATCTGCGACTCGTTGCGCGGGGGCGCCTGGCCGTCGTCGGGGGCCTGCTGCTGCTGCTGGTTGTCCGTCTCCTCCTGCTGCTGCTGCTGCTGCTGCTGCTGCTGGGGCTGCTCGTCAATGTCCATCTCGACGTCGGCCATTGTGACGGTGGTTCGTGTGGCGAGATGGGCGGGGGGATTCGCGCGTTCGTGTCTGTGTTTTCTCTACGGCAGGCTCGGATCGAGGTGTGACGGGGTCGTGCGTGTGATGGGGGGCAGCGCAGATGTTGTGAGATTTCGAGGTGGAAGATGTTGATGGGCGCAAGCAGTAGCTCAATTCGACCATGCCTGGCAGCAGCTGGTGGTGCCGTGCCCCACCCGCCCTGTGCGACCCGCCGGACTTTGGAGGGCCCGTTCCGGCGGGCAGACAGAGAGAGAGAGAGAGAGAGAGAGAGACAGAGGCGACCTGAGAACCCTTGGTACTAGCAATGCATCTCGTCATGAATCGTTCAAGGTCTGCTGGCATGGATTTCCATTGATGCTTCATAATAATCGTCGACAGGCGCGATACTCCTAGTATGTACAGGAACCCTTCACGTCTGGGAAAATCGAGCCACAGAGCTCGACATCGCAACGTTTCGTGCGGCCAAAGACCTGACAGCCTGCTGATCCAATGCCCGGATGTAAGAGAACAAATACAGACTACCTAACGCCATGCAACCTGTCCAGGATCCCTAACCTCCGAAACAATTCCCCAGAAAGTCAAGTCAAAAAAAAACGCCTTGGCAACCCGTCCTCTCATATCGCAACACTATCCAGAGTGAAGTTCTGGCTGGCTTCTCGGAGGCTCAAGCCCGTTATGCTGAAGATGGTCATCTCAAGCTCCTCCTCCGGCATGGCCTGGTCCGCCTGCTTCTGCCCCTCGAGAACGTCATACAGCGCGTAGATCTGGTCGTTCTTGACCTCGAGCCTCTTAAGCATCTCCCTCATACGCGACGCCAGGTCCTTGCGCGCGGTGCGGCCGAGCGCCGAATTGAGGTCATTGTAGCGCGCTTGCAGCCTGGAAAACTCCATCTTGAGGTGTTCCGCCTCGTCCTTGAGACCCTTGATGACCATGGCCAAAGCTTGACCGGGGTGCTGCGAAGGCCGCATCGTCGGCTCTTCGGTGTAGCCTTCGAGCTGCTGCACCTGCTCCGTGGCGGGGATCGGCTTGGGAACGTGGATACGCTTCTTGCCCTCGGTCGCTTCTTTCAAGCTGACGGTGCCGCGGTGTCCTGTGATCCTGCTGCAAACGACACAGTTCTTACACTTGTGCTCGCAAAGGTCGTCTAACACGCGACGCGCGTTCGCAGACAGCGCAGGACAGTTGGCTCGGGCCTCCGATGTGCGTTCCTCCTTGCGACTGCGACTCGTGATATCGACAGTCGTCGACTTGTTGTGAGAGGGCTTCAAAGAAGACTTGGCCGACGGCGCCTTCTGGCTCCGGCCCGTCATGTTCTGGGTCATCGTAACAGCGTGCTCCCGTGTGTGTTCAGACCTGGTAGTTGTCTCCTTGCGAGGCTTGGCCTTGGGCTCAAAGGTGATGGAGAGGTTTTGCGTCAGATCCTGGGTGCTCTCCTGGGTCAGGTATGCATCGGCATCAGCCACGAGCCCGCCTTTCGCAGCGTTGCGTTGGGCCGCCGTGCGCCTCTTGCTGCTGCGGTTCGCGCCGTGTGCGGCTGTCTTGCTGTTCTGTGCGTTCTCGGGAAGCGAGAAAGCAACTTTCTGGCCTTGGGTCGTCATATCCCTTTGTTGTGTTGCGTCTTTTCGGCTCTTCATGGCACGTGTGTCAAATGTGTTCTCGGGATCAGCAAGGCTTCCCTCCGTCGGCCCATCGATCTCTGGAATCTCAAATGGCTTCTGGCTCTGTGTCGGCATGTCAGGCGGCGCCTTGTTGCTTTCGGTGGTTACGTCGACGATCGAGTTCTCATCAATGGTAATGTCAGGAACAAAGAAGGCCGAAGTCATGTTCTCCTCGTCGCCGTCCTCCTCTTCGTCGTCGTGGCCAAGACGAGCGGAGAAGTTGTCATCTTTGCCGAGCGGTCGACAATGATCCAGCTGCTGCTTAAGGAACTCGATTTCCTCCTTAAGCCGCACGTTCTCGTCGTGCAGGTCGTGAATGCTGCGCTCGAAGCCGCTGTTCTCGCGGCGAAGCATCTTGTTCTCCTCAAAGTACTTCTCGTTGTGGCGCACGAGGCTATCATTGTCTTCCTTCAGAGTGATCTTCTCCTGGTCCACAGCGTCCATGTCTTGCTGCAGCGCGTCCACCTCCTCACGCGCCGCGTTCAGTTCTTGCTGCGCAGTGTTGGCGTTTTCGCGGAACTCCTCGTTCTCAGACATCAGGGAACGAGCATTGGTTCGGAGTGATCGATTCTCGGCCACCAGAGACTCTTGCTCCCGACGCAACGAGTTGTTGTCGGCTCGCAGCGATTCCACCTCGTCTTGCAGAGCCTGCTGGTCGCGGCGAAGGGTGCTGTTGTCAGCCCGAAGAGACTTGTTCTCCAGCTGGAGCGCGTCGACTTCGTGCTTTAGCGTTTCGCCCGAGGACGGGGCAACGTTCTGAGTGGTTTGCAGCTGGAGCGTCTCGTCGAGCTTCTTTTGCGTCTCGTTCAGCTCCTTCTCGCGAGCGTCAAGCTTGTCCATGAGTTCGCCGATGTTCTCGCAAGCCTGTTGCAGTTTCTTCAGAGCCCGGTCCCGCTCCAGGGATAGGGTGTTGTTCTCGACGTCGTTGACCCCGATCTTCTGGGTCATCTGGTCGAGTCGGGTCTGCAGCGAGTTGACCTGCGATTCCAGAACTGGTGCGTGTTAGCCATTTAATTCATCATGTTGGGTCCAGACATGGTTACCAAGCTTCTCGGTGACCAGCTGCTCGTGCGCAGCCGTTTCGGGCTCCGAGCCGCTGCGAGAACCCAAAGCACTATCGATGGACTTGCGAGACTTCAGACGTTTGACCTCCTTGGAAAGAAAGTCCACTTCGCCTTGCAGGTCGTCGGCGTACTTCTGCACCATGTCGTCGTGCTGCTGGAGGTTCTCAATCTCTTCGCGAATCATATCCATGGAGACGAAAATCTTGCCCTCGTCCTCGGGAATGGCAAGGCCGTCGACTTCGGCATGGTCGTTCACCGGGCGGTTGTCGCGGTTCTGTACCCGGCCGTGCTTGACGAAGACCGGGACGCCGTTCTTCATGCCGCCGAGGCGGAGATTTCCAGAAACAACGTCGTTGAGGTGGGAGATGTCAGGCATGACGAAGGACTGCATCGTGCCGTTGTTGCGCGCCGGGCTGTCGGTGGTGGAGGGGGAGGGAAACAGTTTGCGGATCGCGTTGAGGTTCTGCGGCGTGTGCTTCGCAAAGTTGGTCTCGGCAACGGCCGGCGCCGGCTCGCTGTGGCGTGGCAGGGCAGAGGACGTGTGAGATCTCCGCATCTGGCCGATGCGGTCTTGCAGAGGTGCTTCGGACGGGGCTGGCTGGCTGCCCGAGGAGTGGCGCAGGTGTGCTCGGGACAGAGGGCTCTGGGTGCGCGTCTGGTGGGCGAAGCGGGCCATCTCTGGCCGGATGGCGAGGCGGGCGGGGGATTTGGATATGGTGGACGAGAGGTCGGATTCGTTGTCGACGCGAGGTTGCATCTCGGCACGTGTGCGTTTCGAGTCTTGCCAGGCGTCTTGTGTGGAGTCGTCCATGTAGTCGGGGTTGAACCTGGGCGGCATGTTCTCCTTGGCGCGAAGCGACTGCGCAGTGTGCTTCGTGGCGGGGGCACCGTAGTGTTCCGGCCACTTTCTGTGGGCGGCCTCGAGGTCGAATCGCGGGCCAGTAACGCGAGCGATGTCCTCGTTAAGCTTGCGCGTAGACTCGCCGTCGGGATCGGACATGACAGAAGACATGGTAATGGTGCCGTGGGAACCCGTGGATGATGGGGGAGAGTTCCACGGGTGCAGCTTCTTCGCCGCTCGCTCCCTAAGCATGCGGGACTTGTATTGAATGTCAAGTGCGTTGGAGGCCATGGCTGCCTTGCCACGTCTTGCAGACGCGGTCGTGGACTTTGGTCGTAGATGTGATCGATGAGGATGATGGTGCGTGTGTATGTGTGCGGGCAACAAGGTCAGATATGGGTGATGGACGCGTCGCCGTGATGATGTGACCGGTCTTCTCTCAAGACGAGCAATTGATGTCGTGCTAGATGCTGTTCGCGCGGAAAAGCAGCAAGGAAGAAAAGAAAACGCGTGCAACTGCTCTGGAGGTCGAGAGCTTCGCGAGAACAGGACGCGATGTCGAGGAATGAGCGTTCCGAGATGAGCGAGCGAACCAGCAAGGGCAGGGCATGTTGGTTTGTTTACTTTCGGGAGTAAACACATGGGGGTGCGTCCCCACCAGTGCTGTCACACACACACACACGCGCACACACCAGCCACCGCTAGCCATCCCGCCAATCGCCCCGCCTGAGACATCTACTTGTAGCCTGCCGCCCGCTGACCGCTGCCCGCTGCCCACTGCCCGCTCTGAAGCACGCTGCTGAGCCACGTTCCTACATGGAGAAGTGTGCGGGCAGGAGAAGGGCAGTTGGGAAGCCACAGCCCGCGCAACGTCGCGCCAAACTTGACCACCATGGAACCGGGAAGGACTTCGCTTTGGGGAAGCCCAAGTGCCGGTCGTGATCGCCCAAGCCTCCACTTGCCAACATGGAGACCTTCTTCACTCGTCCATGACATTGACATGCTTTCTTTCCTTGAACTGAGGGGACAGACGGGACCCATGCGTTTGCTGCTCTGCGCAATCAAACTCATGATGTTCTGAAGGCTTGCCGATAACGAAGTTACGACTCATGCTACAACCTGGTTGATGCTCCCGAACCAGTATTCTCGCCACACTTTCCACCTCAGACTGCACCTCGGACACTGACATCCTTCACGGGGCTGTCATAGCTGGTGTACGGTCGCCTCGCCATGGCGCGCTTGCACCTCGCTGTGCTCGCGCTATCCAGTGTCGCAGCGAACGTCTTGGCCAAAGCGACAATCCCCAAGCACGAGATATACTGCCCAGTATTCATCAACGCCACGAAAGCGCCCCGGGATTGCGACCCAAGCCGGACGGTGTCGTTCATCGACTACCCGCTACCACTTCTGCAGTCCGCCAATGGCTCTGAGATCGATACCGAGGCCCTGGAACATGCCTTTGAGGCCCTCACCGTCATGCAGAGCGAATTCTTCATGCCGGCCCAGGGGACCTGGCCGGAAGCCATCGACTGGACCGTGGCCGTCATGGAGACCATGCTGTCAGGCATGCTGACGACCCTGTCACGGGCCTTCTCGGCCATTGACTTTCTTCGCAAGGACGACAAGGGGGCGGAGAGGAACCTCGTCGACTCGTATTTCACGCAACTCGTGGCGTCCTATTTCGGCCAGGATGATGTCGCCATCCGCCATCAGGTATTTTTTTTCCGCCTTCTTTTCATTTTCATTTGTGGGCGCCCGCAAGTCTCAAGAAAGCACCGCTGACGTATCATCAGGCCTACGACGACATTCTCTGGGTTGTCCTCGGCTGGGTCGACGCCATCAAATTTGTCCACGTACACTCCACCCTGCACTACCCTCCCAGAGACCCCAGCAGCATCGTCAACGAAGACCTGGGGGACGCTCTGCGGAAGAGCCCGTGGTACGGCCACTTCTGGGTCCCGGCTTTTGCGCACCGGGCGAGGATCTTCTGGGACTCGGCCGCGCGCGGGTGGGACGACAGCCTCTGTGGCGGGGGCATGGTATGGGACCCTCGGCTGGCGCCGTACAAGAATGCCGTGACGAACGAGCTCTGGATCGCCGCGTCCGTGTCCATGTATCTCTGGTTTCCGGGCGACAACAACACGGCGCCGTGGATCAACGGGCGGTTCCAGCTCGGCGCCACGCGCGAGCCCAAGTATCTGGCCGCCGCCATCGAGGGCTACAAGTGGCTGGTCAACGTCAATATGCGGAACGAGGACGGCCTCTTCGTCGACGGCTTCCACATCTCGAGGCCGCAGGGCGACAAGAAGTGTGACGCGCGCAGCGAGATGGTGTTCACGTACAACCAGGGCATCCTGCTCACCGGTCAGCGAGGGCTCTGGACCGCCACCGGCAGCCCCTCGTACCTCGAGGACGGTCACAGGCTCATCCAGTCCGTCGTCAAGGCGTCGGGCTGGGATCTCCGCCATGACAAACCCGTCGATGACCTTCGCAAGCTTCCCTACGGACGCCTGCCTCCCTGGAGAGGTCTCGGCAGAGGTGGCGTGCTCGAAGATGGATGCGATGCCAGCGGCACCTGTTCGCAGGACGGACAGACGTTCAAGGGCATCTTCTTTCATCATTTTGTGACCTTCTGCGAAGACATCCAGCCACCGGAGCCGGGACAGGACACGAAAATTGACTATGAGGCCCACGATAGGATCACGACCGCCCATAGAACGGCATGCCGGAGCTATTCGGGCTGGGTGGCTCACAACGCCCGAGCAGCTCTCTTGGCAAGGGACGACGAGGGACGATTCGGCGCATGGTGGGGAGCCGGTCTCTTCAATAACGTCTCACTGACGGTGGAGACAGATGGGGTTCCTCACGACGAGCCCAACGCAACAGACTACCGCAACCACGGTATCCCGCACGAACCTCTCTGGGCCAAGGGCAACCCCGACGAAATTTGGGCACCGAACGGAGAGGCTCGCAGGACGCCAGGCAAGGGTTCGAGCATGACGGCCCCCGTGCAGCCAGATCAGATGGTGATGGTGTCAACAGATGACTCGCCCCTTGACACGCGACAGGAACTCGGCAAACGACACAAGACGTCAACTACGCGCGACCCGAACGACAGGGGCAGAGGCCGCACAGCCGAGACGCAGAATGGCGGCATGGCGTTGATGCGAGCTTGGTGGGAGCTGGTGGCCTGCGACCACGACCTGCACCCAGAGAGCTGAACGGCTTTCTCCAGAAAAGGGCATCAACAATCAGGGCACATCCGATAGACTAGGCACCCAAGAAAAATAAGAGGGCATCGCAACGCCATACAAGCTGATGGTCAGCACTGCCGCCGTCAACCCATTCACCCATTGGCCAGGCGTGCGAAAGCGATGACCAGCCAGCCTAGCGTGCGCACTGGGGCTCTCACCTCTCTCGGCACCGAGAAGCCGGGCGCCCACGCAAAGCTCTCCCCCCAAGGCGATCGGCGTGACTTGAGGAGGGCGTCCACACCTTTCGTCTCTCAAGCGCCGGCAAGCGTTGGGCCGAGAGAAGCGTGTGCGCAGCTTCGAATCATGTGCCTTTTTGGAGACTCGAATCGTCTTCCCTTTTAGGACATGTGCCTAGGAGTAGGAGGCGAGGGGTCGCAAGATAGCGCACACGGCATGGCTGTCATGAAGGCGCAGCATCATAGACGAGAGATACCAACGGTAGACACGAGGGGGCTATTGTTATAAGTAGAGTAGAAGATCGCTCACTATGTAGACCACTTTCGCATCATCAGAATCGCATTCACATTGATCAACACTCCTGTCCTCCACTTCCACCAGTGCCATCTGCAATCTGCGAAACTCACGTTTAATCGTATCAATCAAGACAACCACTTTCCAGTTCTTTCAACCACCCACGTTCTCCAAAATGGTCGTCGGTCTCGTCGCCAGTCTCGTGTCAACCCTCGTCCACAGCTCCAAGAGCAAGTCTTGCTCCGCCGCCACGGCCACGCCGGAGGACCAGGCGACCGCACACCACCAGCAAGGCAGCGCCCACAGCACCCCGTGCCCACGCGACTGCTCCATCTGCGCCGTCGTCCCCTCGCTCGCGACCCGCTACGAGCGCAAGCAGGAGCGCAAGGACAGGCGGTGCGCGCGCCGCGCCGCCAGGCGCGACGCCCGGAGATCCCACTGCTGCTACCCGGCCGGCGTCGTCGTGCAGCCCACCGTGTCGGTCGGCGGGTATCCCACCATGGCGGGGCAGTCGTACGGCGTGCGCCGCGTGAGCGCGCCGAGGCGGCAGGGCGCCGAGGGCCAGGAGCGCGGGTTGACGGACGGGGATGTGCCGCCGCCTTATGAGCAAGAAGATCCCCACGGGGCGTTGGATGAGAAGAACGAGGTTCGTCTGTGATGTGATTGCGGTGGGGGGGGGGGACAGGATTGGGGAGGCGTTGTGTTGGTTCTCCTTTGTTTCACGAGTTCGCATCTTCGTCAGATACCGAGCGTTCAAGGTCATGTTCGTTTCTTTTATTTTTAAATTTTCCATTGGTCCTGGATCGTCTCTCTAGCCATCCCGTCTAGTTCATGAGAACCGTATTGTACAAAAATCAAAATGACTTTTCATTTCCCCCGCCTCCAGTGATCAGACGCCCATCACGGCCCTGAAAGACACTTGATGCCCTCCGAAATGGCCTCTCACGAGCAATGGCCTCTCGCGACAAGACCGAGGGCCGCTGTCGTGCGACGAAATCGCATGCCGTAGCTGTGAATCGTTTCGCCACGTTTGCGACGGGGCGAGCTCATTGCCTGAGGCCGGCAAGACGTCGGCCCTGCACCTCGCTCAGAGCCTTGACGCCCGACAGGAAGGTGACGGTACCCACGACGCCGACGATGGGCAGGATGTGGAGCAGCTTCCAGCCAACGTGGTAGGCCACAAAGACGCCCTCCATGGCGATGATGGAGCCAAAGAAGGTCGCGTGGGCGACGGGCGCCTTGCTCAGGGCCTGCTGGGCATGGTTGAGGTTGGCACCAAAGTAGCCCCACTGTCAAGGATGGTCAGCACGGCATTCTAAACCCCCCCAGCGGCGCTTGTCATGGTATGGTACAACTCACAGCGGCGAGGAGCGCGGGGTAGGTGGCCACGACGAGGCCGAGGCCGATCAGACTCAGGAGAATGTTGGGGCTCGTGTCGTGCTTGCGGTAGTGGTGGGTCTGTTCGTTGAGCTTGCCGTAGCGAAGGGGTGCCTCGTAGGAGAGAGGACGCAGGTCGTCGGGGTTGCGGTCAATCTTGAGGTTGAAGAGCGGCGACTCGATGGCGGCGGAGGAACCGAAAGACCCGATGACGATGTACGCACCCAGGTGCTCGGGGGTGATGCTGTGCTGGATGGGGAGGTCCTTCTGGGCCTGCAGCTCCTGTCAGTAAACGCGCGGCTGGACGAGGTGAGCAGCTTTTCTCAACGCACAATCTCGACGGTACCCTTGCCATTCTCCTTGACATTCAGAGGGAAAGGGGCCTCAAGTCCGGTGGCGGTGTCACGGAGGATCAGGAAGGCCTGGTGCGGGCGCTTGGCCTTGCCGTTGTCCTTGGTCGTCAAGGCGATCTTGATGGATTCTTTCGCACCGAGAGTGATGGGCGTCTTCAGGAGACCCTTGGAGCTCAGTCTGTACGGCCAGCAAATTAGCGCGGCTCAATGGCACCGCCGTCTCCTTCGTCCCCCTCGAGCTCCGAGCTCTCTCCTCTTCGGAATAGGCACTTACGTCTCCTTAACAGCCTCCGGCTTGCGAAGAATGGAAACTGTCGCGTCGTCGAATCCCCAGGAAGAAGCTGCTTGGGCGGCACCGGCGCACAGGAGCGCAAGTGCGGGGGTGAGCGAGTGAAGGAAGCGCATGGTTGCTGATTTCAATGTGGTTGACGCTCGCTGGAGAGCTGCTTCACTTCACGAGGGGGAGGCTACGTTGACACTGGACAGCTTTCGTTATCCAACTGGGCCCCTGCAGCTGGTGCACGGGCCGGCAATTGATGGGTCGTCATTACAGTGCATTTTCATTCGAACACGGCTCTCGCACAGTTTCGGAGAAGGCATGTAGAAGTGAGCTTAGGGAAAAGCAAGAGAAAGACTCTCATGTATCGCAGCTTGCCATGTCCGCACAGCCGTGTCAGATGCGGTAAAGAAGCATGAGAAGCAGATCTTATCGCGTCTTTGTGCATTGTATGAATAGTTATGCCATATGTACAGCGCCCGTCGTGCGCATGACAAATGGGCTATCGACCCGTCTGTCATTGTCACAATTCCGTCTTGGCTGTCTCAGTCGTCTCGCGCTTGAGCTGTTTCTCCGTCTTCTTCGGGAGATACTCTGCAATATCCAACCACTCGGCAGTGAACGCCGTGACGATCCTCGTCCAGTCACGCACTGTGGGGATATCTAGGTGCTCGCCGTCATCCTCCATCTTGTGCCACTGGGGCGGGAAGGGCGTAGGGATCATGTGCAGGATCTCGACACCGCGCGCCATGAACGGAACGTGGTCATCCTCGACAAAGCCACGACGGAATTGACTGTGTTCTTTGTGCAACTCAGGCAGGAAGGGCTGGGACTTTGTAGACTCGATGATCCCAAGCTTCCTCATGCGGCCCTCGATTTTGGCCATGTTCTGGTACGCCCAATGGGTTGTCGGAAAGTACGAGGGGATGCGAGGGTTCTTGGCACCGAGCAGGTCAAGCAGCAGGAAGAGGCTGATCGAGTTGATCGGGCTCTTGTACGTCGACATGGCGGGGTGGACCTCCGTCTCCCACGACTCAGCCAGCGCTCTGCATCTGGTCAGCCTCATGCCGGCGAGGTCCATCGGAACCTGTGATGCAAGAAAAGATGCCTTACCTCGAACCATACAGGGAGTCTTCAGCGGTCCATCGCACCCAGGCCTCTTCTCCGTCGAGGAGGAGGATCTGCACGCCGACCTCCTCCTCCAATCCCATGCCGGCATCGCCAGAATCCTGCATGGCCTTCCACTTCTTCGCAAGGGCCTCCTCGATGCCGAGGGCTGTCTGCATCAGCATGGCGCACGGCGCCGCGCTGTCGATGGCGCCGATAAACCCGTCGGGCTTGTACAGACTGTCGTAGTGGGCCACGAGCGTCAACCGGCCGACGTCGCCAACTTTGGCCCAGGGCGGATCGCGCACGAAGATGAGGTTGGTAAAGGGAATGTCCTTGTCGCCTGTTGCAGGCGTCTTCGCCGTCGAGTTGTGCCACTCGATGCGCCATTCGGGCAGTTTGGTTTTGAAGAAGCTGACAAAGTGCTCCTGTGCTTTGAAGGACCCAGGCGTGCCCGGGACGCGCGGGATCAGAATGGGCGCCAGGAGTGATCCCGACTTGATGTCGAAGCCGTCGCCACCAGAAGGGATGCCGCGCAGGGCATCATCAGGCAGCTCGGTATAAGCATGTGTGGGGCTCAGCAGGGCGGCGAGGGCCAGAAGAATGCACCCTACCCGGACGGACAGTCGCCTCTCGGTGAAGAAGCCCATGATAGCGGAAGAGATGGTGATTCCGGGATCATGCTGCGTTTCGCCAGTGGCCAGCAACTGCGCGAAAGATCTGGGGTGAGGACAGCTGTGGTTCAAGGGAGGACCAGGTGGCAGCGATCGGGCATGGCATTGTTTCATTCAATTGGCCCTCGGCGGAGGTTTGGCGTCCGAGCAGCGGGCCAGTGATGGATGCCAAGTCTGATCGAGCCACAATACCCCTCCTCTTCTCCACACTGCTCACCTTGCTCACCTTGCTCGGAGGGAAGCTGTGACCACCGCGTAAATCCGGTGGCACCATGCAACCTCGACCTCCAACCTGATCCATCGGTGATAGGTCTTTGGCTCCCTCGCAGCCCTTCTGGCAAGCAATGCTGTGCACCATCATTCAGAGCGTCCTGCAAGCCAAGCCAGTCTTTTCTATCGCCGAATGGCCGATACCCCGCTATGCAATGTGTCAGCGTCGCCAATACTATGCGATGGCTCCCCTCCAACAACCATGTTGCTTACGACCACGGCACGATCTGGCTCGGTCTGGAGATAGCCTCTGGTGAACATGAGTGATGTCTTCGTGACACTGATCCCGGGGTTTGCAGATAGCGCCGGCCAACTGCTTGTCATCCAGGCATGCCTGCCAGCCTGCCTCCCTGCGTCAACATGAGTCTCTGTCCCGAGACGCTGTGCGATGTGAAGGAGTCGACAAAGTATAAGAAGAAACAGAGCGACTGATGAAAAGAGACAGGTCAAACAGAAGACATCTCGACTTTCACATCTCCTACTGGCCCATCAAGATATCCAGCAAAAAAAGTGTCCCCTATAGCTGTCCTACGCACCTACACACCGAACACCACTCCCCAACTTCATATCACCATGGACACCCCCGTCTGGTTTATCACCGGCGCCAGCTCTGGCTTCGGCTTCGAGATCGCCAAGGTAGCCCTCGCCCGTTCCCACAAGGTTATCGCCACGGCCCGCAACACCACCAAGCTCGCCCGTCTGGCGGACCTCGGCGCGACCGTCATTCCCCTCGACGTGACGGCGCCCGAATCCACCATCCGCGCCGCCCTGGCCGAAGCCCACGGCCTCCACGGCCAGCTCACGCACGTCATCAACTCGGCCGGCTACGTCCTCGATGGCGCCGTCGAGGAGTGCACCGCCGACGAGGTCGCCGCCATGTACGCCACCAACGTCCTCGGCACGCACAAGGTCACCCGCGCCGCGGCCCCCTACCTGCGCGCCCAGGGCGCCGGCGTCGTCGCCAACTTTGGCTCCCTCGGCTCCTGGGCCGGCAGCGCCGCCTGCGCCCATTATTGCGCCACCAAGTGGGCCGTCTCGGGCCTCTCGGAGGGCCTGGCGCAGGAGCTGGGTCCCTTTGGCGTCGACGTGTGTGTCGTCGAGCCGGGCTACTTCCGCACGGGATTCCTGAACGCCGGCGCCCGCCTGCACGCCGAGGAGCGGCTCGGGGCCTACCAGGACGGACCCGCAGCCGAGAAGATGGCCGACTTGGACCGCGCAAACGACAACCAGGCCGGCGACCCCGTCAAGGCCGCAGAGGTCATTGTCGACGTGCTGACGAGGTCGGGTGTGGCTGAGGGTCGGGCCATCCCGCTGCGGCTGGTGCTGGGGACGGACTGCCTGGCGACTGTGAGGCAAAAGTGCAAGGACACTGTTGCGCTGTTGGATGAATGGCAGGACGTTTCTGCTTCCACTGATTTTGTCATGTAAAGACCTGCCGACGAAAGACCGAACACCAGATTGTTACATAGTCCATAGTATCTTAATTCTGCGGCGTATCTCACTCTACCTGGCGGTGGCGTGCTGGATCATCAAAACTAAAACAAGCTGTGCCTAGCCAAACATGAACAGTCTGCCATGCGTTGCGTCAAATTCATCAGCCAGCGGCTGAGATAACATATCATTAATAATATAGTAGTCGTTATGCGGGGCGACCAAACAAACATCAAAAGCATGCGAGCTCGAGATGGTGAGCTTCCAGCCTGCGCCAGCCCTCGACCCGAGAAAGCGCCTGTACAAAACGACGTGTGAAAAATGCCATGCTGCGCTCGCGCCCATGTTGAAGATGGTTCAAGCCAAGCCAAAGCCAAAGCCCCGCTCCTGCCAACGCCCAGAAAACCGCTGATGCCGTGAGAAAACATGTCCCCCACCAACTCCTCCTCCTCATCCCGACTTTTTTCTTCATGGTGTCTCCTGCCTATCGATGCACGTCTCAAGACGCCACCCAGGCCGCCCTGCCGTTGCAGCGCCCGTAGTCCTCCTCGGGCTTTGGCGGTGTTGAAACCCTTTGGTGTCGGACGGGAACTTTGCCGAGTCCGCTCTCTCTATCATTCTGTGTCTGTGTGCGAAGGCACTAGTCGTGGCGCTTGCCGTTCATGTCGTTGAGGGCAGCCTGCGCGGCAAAGGCCTGCTCGTTGGCGATTTGCTTTTCCCTGGGGATCGTGAGAGCATTGATGCCGAGGAAGTTGCAGATGCTCGTGACAACGAGGTAGGCCCAGCGAGAGTACACGACGAGGGCGAAGAAGAAGTAGGCCCAGAGGTAGACGAGCTCAGCCTTGGCCGTGACGGCAGCGACGCCGAAGCGGGGCAAGTTCCCGATGAAGGCACCGCCAACGAGGGGCCAGAGCATGACGGTCCAGAACGGGAAGGGCTGGCGTGTCAGATGGGCGAGAATCATCTTGGTGGTCATGCGTCCAAAGACAAAGGCCATGGTGAAGCAGAAGAGCACGAGGTGGTTCTCCCGCATGAGGGTCGAGTATGGGGAGTACACCCAAGCGCCGATAGCAGCGGTGAAAACGAGCATGGGAGTCCATTCGAGGAAGACGGGCGCGATCGGGAGGTTCTTCTGCTGACGCGCGCGAACGACGTTGTAGATGCAGAAAGGGATATGGGTGGCGAGCAGCGAGGTGATGATCATGCCAATCCAGATGTCCCGAATCGAGTAGTGGTGGATCAGCGGCATGAGGCCGAAGAAGTGCTTCTCGCCAAGTATGTCGATGATGGGCTGGGTCCAGATGCCAGGACCGCAGATGCCGGAGGTGGCCATGATGGCGCAGGCGATCAGGATGCCCTCCGTGGGGCCGTTAATGGTGCCGAGGTAGAGCGTGTGGGTGTGGTAGGTCTCCCAGGTCGAAAAGAACATGGGCAGGCACGGGCAGAGCGCAGTAAAGACGCCGGATTTGGAGGTGCCCAGGCCCATGGCAGCAGTCTCCAGAAGACTGGCGAGAGTGCAGTTAAGCGAGTCGATGCCGTGGTCGAAGAGCTCGCCGAGACCGCTCGAGGTGCCAGTTCGTCGAGCTTGCTTTCCGTCGAGATTGTCCATGGTCTGGTACATGAACAGGCCGAGTGCGAAACTAAAATATAGCCATGACGGTCCCTGTGCATCGTCCCTGTCAGCTGCTGTCCCATGTGTCCGTCACGGCAAGGTCGCAACGTACGGGTCCCTCGAGATCGGGCATAACAATGACGAGTAGGAGGATGTTGGCCAGGATGAAGGCGAAGCCGATCAATGTCACCATGTTCGGAGCCAGCCATAGCGGCAGCAACTTGACGGAAGCTTCCCACTGCAAAAAGACTCGAGAATTAGCTCTGGTTCGAGAATTGTAATTGGACAGGAATGGCAGGCAAGCCACTGCGTAGCCTTGGGCGAGGCTGTCTTGGAGCTCAGCGCGGGGCAACATACGTAGGGGCGGAGGACATATTTGGATATCGGCGACTTGTCGACTGCGGAGTACTTGTACGACTTGAGGTGGATGAGGGCATCGTCGGAGATGCACTCGGCGATGGCCTGCTCTGCAAGGACATGGGCGTTAGCGTACCTCTCAAGGGTGCAGCACTGGTGGTGGTGGTGGTGGTGGTGATCGTCTCGTTGAACAAGTCCCGAGTCGAGTCGTGGGGCCGTCTCGACATTTTTTCGGCGCTTGAACTGTACTTTGCGCTGCACCTAAACTTGGTACAGCGCGAGGTACTTTCGCGGAGTGGGTGGGTGTGTGCTTACTCTTGTCACTAATGAGAGACCCCATCTTCAAAGGTCTTTGGGGTGAAGATGGATTGGAGGGAACAATGAAAGGAAGAAGGAAGAGAAGGGATATGGTCCCAGAAAGACGACGCGGGCTGCCAGTACGAGAAGCAGGGAATCCTAACAGCAAGGCATTGCAGGGAGAATCGAGGTAATAGGGGGTTGAGCAAAAGGTGGTCAAGCGATTGGGAGGTCTGGTGGATGAAGTAATAATGCATGGTACAAATTGCCTACCTGCCTGCTAAGGTACCCAAAAGCACCTAGCGAGCGGACGCCGACTGAACCCTGGACGTGAGCAGGGCGAGGTACTGTAGAGCCCGCCAGAAAAACGGGCTTGATTTCGACTGTGGGTACCTTGCGTGCTGTAGCCTTTCTTGGGCCCCGCAGCCTTTTAGGTGGCCTGAGCCGAACCTGGGCAATGGCCATTCGCTTGTGACTGCTGGGGGTGCATAACCCAATCACGCATGCACAAAATCTGCCACAGGGCACCATCAAGGTCACGCTTCCACTGTGACATGACAACGTGGGGTCAAGAGACGCCATATGAATGTAGAGTCAAAGTCTCTGCCGCAGATGTCATGTTGGTGCATTCGAATCGGGAGAACCGGCATGTGACTCTCAACCCACAACATCACAGGCAGGATCGGATGCTCTGGCTTCTACAGTCCCCTGCCCAGCGTCAATGTCGGCGAGGGCTTTCGATACCATCACAGGAGCCGAAAGAAGCAAGAACCACAGTGAACCTGACATGAGTGCATTACGCTACTATCGCCTACCTTCATTGGCTTCTGCCGCCATGCCCATCACCAGATGTTCATGTCGGAAGGCCCTGTCCTAAGCTGGTCTTCTTTGACGATCTGTCGAAGCGAGACTGGTCTGATGACCTGCATTGAGAGCTTGAGATGGCAGAGAGCATCACCATGGGATTTGATGATTCTTCCATCTATCGAGTCGCTCTCAATCTCCAGCCTGCCGTGGCGATGCCGCAACGCAACTGCCTCCCAAGCTTGAGCAACGGGGGGCCCAAGGATCACTTCGGAAGTTCCTCTCAGCGTGACAGTAACCGATTGCCCATCTCGAGCTGTTCGGTAGCGGAAGAGCATCGCCAAGCCTTCTTTGCCGTTCCAGATCTCTATGGTTTGGATCTTGGGCATCTTCAAGGCGGCAGCAGCAGCATTCAAAAGTATACCGTCAATGTCGGCACTACTTGCATCGGGGCCCAACAGGCTCGAAGTCAGCGCCAACGATGTCAGGTTCGGCCATATACAAGATTCTCGCCGAGCATAGAAGAAATGCCGAGCATCGACTATGTATGAAGCAGACAGCACCTCAAGATCTGTACTGGTCCTTGCAAGCTTTCGTGCCAAAGCCGTGTTTTCTTTCCGGGTTCTGACGGCTCCCAAGTCCCAGGACTTGGGAGTGTCGTAGTCCTGATTGAAATTTTCAAACAAAATCATCGTCCGCAGACCTTTGTGGAGCGAATCGAACAGTATCTCGTGATCTACGGGAAGGTTATAATCATTAACGGGGAAATCACTAGGTAGTGTGAGACTGATGGCTGCATACTCACATTTATCTGTAAAATGCTGCATGAGGGGCTCGTCTTTCCAAGGCTCATACCACAGTTCCTCCAGGTTGGGAAACCGCGCGAACATTTGTGCGAGATCAGTTGGCTTCCATCGACGCCGCGTCTGCTGCCGAAGATATTCGCCGGTGATGGCAGGAACTAGGGGCAGTCGTTGCCACCATTTCTTCTCCAGCTCCTCGTCTTCACATGGCAGCGGACACTCGATCTCGTCGAAAACTCTGTGTATTACCCGAGATGCCAGGGCTGTTTCTCGGCGACCGGCACGCCAGCCGTGGGCCGGGTCGTCATATAGGTCGGTTAAGGACTGCGTCGACACCTCACTTTGTCGAAACGGAGGAGAAGACCGGCCGGGAGGCATGTCGGGTCCGAACTCGAGGTACTTGAACCAGTGATCAGAGTCGCTTGGCGAATAAATGCTGATGTCAAGGACCAAGTCGCCGTCAAGTTTCCACGGACTAAGAGTTGAAAAGAGATCCTGGAAAGACTGGGTGACGAACGCGCTGTCGATGTCGTTCATTCCCCAGGTGGTATCATCTTCAGCCATACATATGGTACAGTCATATCGCTGAAGCTCTAAGCGAAACCATATGTAGCGGATGAGGCTCCCTTTTCGACTAAGAATGGATCCAGAATTGGAAATTCGTGTTGGCGTCAGATTGATCCTGGCGAAATTGTGCGGCTCTATGACCGAATGCCATTCTCTCGAGACGCTGGCCGCATGAGCCAGCTTGATACCGCTGCAGATGATGTCTTTGAGTATCTGGTTCCGTATCTCAGGTGGTAGCTTAGCCCAAGACCCTGCCGCCGAGAACATGATTAGCCCAGCGTTCCACCACGCGGTATGGAATATGTAGGCTTGTCTAGTAGAGCTGGCTAATGACGCAAGAAAACCGCTTCCTAGGCGTGATGAGCGAAGTGTCGTAGGAGTCTGGCTTCTGGGGCTGATATGGTAGACTTGACAATAGGTATCACCAGGGCCTCGGTGGCGGCAGCTTGTCGACGCACTTCGAGGTGCGCCTAGGTGTGTGATGATGGGCGAGGAACTATTCGCGTAGTCGGTAGGTGTCGGAGGAAAGAAGAGTCTATTAGCTGAAGAGACGCAAGAGGGTTGAAATATATCAACTCACAAAAACGAATGAATCAGTGTGTCAATTATAGCTCTTCAAGCGACTGTTCGACCGGTGGCGTCTTCAAATTGATATACGGGAGGCACAATTAAACGTCCACTCACCTTGACACCTTAACACCTTGCTGGCCGAGCATGAGATGAGTTCGTTAGCATTCTCACGGTTTAGACCATCAGTACACCATGGGAGTACGGAAATAGCCACTCTCTCTGTCAAGTAACTAAGAGCTCGGGCCTACAGCTGTTCAGCCATGCCAGAGGGGAGAATGAATGTGTAACAGCAGATAGAGGCCTCTTCTAACCTGGTCGACAGGGTTTGGTGGCATTCGGGACGTGTCTCAATCTTGCACTTTATTTCGTGGACAACGTGAACTCCGTCGTAATATTCTCTGTAAACATCCAGGCGCTTGGTTGCATCGAGTGAAATCCTCCTTGAACGGAGTGGACAGTAGAAGCAAGAAGGCTGCAGCTCCCTCACCAGACTTAAGACACCACGGTGGATTATATCGTTCGTCTAACACACAGTGGTGGCCGAGCCGGAGGATGTAAACATAATAGCAATCGAGGGTTCACGTAGTGTCATATGATATACTGGTGCCGTTCCGACACGGCCATCTTGCGAATGCGCACTCGCGAGACCAAGAAACGACAAGAAGTGTAGACATTAAGTTGGGAAGGCCTGGGACGTCTAGCCATGCCTTCACCACGTGCTGCGCGCTCCCTGTAAACGCCGACCCAAATCGAGATAAACCATGCAATGCTCAACACACACCACCATACCATGCTAGACCCCCATCTCACCAATGTACTGTCAGAGCGCCGCTTACAGCAGGACGGCGAACCCGCCAACGAGGCCACCAATGACGACCGTCAGGCCAAGACCCCGGCTGAGGGCAGAGGCGGCGCTGTCGTTGTTGTTGTTGTTGTTCGAGTTGCTGCTGCTGCTATCATCGCTGTCGTCGTTGTCGTCGTTGCCGGCGAGGCCGGTGAAGATGGTGCTGCCTGAGGATGTCTGGCTCGCAGTAGCGGAGGCCGTGGGGGAAGCCGAGGACTCCGTAGCGTTGACGCGGCTGGGGTCGGTGGCACCGCATGGGTGGTCTTCACGGCACGAGCTGGCGCATGCGTTGTTGCCGTTGCCGCAGTCAGCGACGCACTGCTGGCCCCAAGCCGTGCAGACGTGGTAGGGCAGCGTTAGGGAGTACTCGGTCATGTTGGGCTTTTGTCCGTCACTGCAGATGCAGCCGTATTGCAGGGCGTCCTATGAACGTCGTTAGTAAGAGGGATGTCTGGGTGGGCTTCCAAGTACACTGACAGCATTGCAGTCGTTGACGAGAGGGTCACCCTCGGACGTCTGGGAGCAGATCATAGGGCACGAGCTCCTCTGGTCACGGCACCACGAAACTGCACGATCCATTAGTCAAGCCACTCTGTACATATAGATTGTATTCGGGTTTGCATACGTCGGATGGGCTTCTGGATGGAGTCAGGCTCGACCCAGTAGTCCTGAGCAGTCGCGGTAGCGACGAAAGCAGCGGCCACGGCCAGGAAGGTGCTCTTGAAGGACGGCATGGTGACAATTGTGTTTGAGCGAGTGGCGATGGTAAGCTTCCGCTGAGCAGATCGTCACGAAGTGTTGTTTTATTGCTAATTGGGTTTCCCGGTCAGCCAACGTGAATCAAGACATTCCTCGAGGGCCAAAGAGCTGGACTACCACCAGAGCACGACACACAACACGCCATGCGTGTGTCTCTTGCCAAGATGAATACACAAAACTTACAACGAAAGCAAGAGTGCTGTTTGAGAGCTGGTTTAAAGTGGCGAGATGATCGGAGGTGAACGAGAAGGGTCGGCTGGCTCAATGGATGTTGACGGCTCCAAGGGGGGAATTATAAAGCGATAGACTGAAAAACGACGGTAGCGAGAGACAAACAGGTATGGGACCCGTTGAGAGCACGAAGGATAACGTAACGCAACAAGTGAGGAGCTGGCTGGCACGATGCGAGTGAAGTCAGGAAAGAGCTGGACCAGGGCGAGAGGCCGCGGGAAGGGGGAGAGATGAGCTTTTCTACTGCCCCATGGTGGTCGAGCGGACGGGCCAGGGTCCCCCTCGTCACCTCGGACTGGCGATATCGTCAAATAGCGGGTGACATTGGGTGCAGCAGTGTCGTAGCCAGCCACTCGGCGTTTTTTTCGACAGGGGTCGCCCGCTATTGTCATGCCGGGCCCCAATCACTTCGACACACAAACTTCGGTAGGGGGCCACCAAGGGCCCGAGGCGACAGGGGATGTCTGGGGATCTGGCTGCTGGGCAAATAAGCTAGGCCTGTGCTAAGATTGAGATCTGGTGGGCCGAGCGACTGCGTGTCTGACCTGACGCCCTTCTCCTCTCCACTACTCATCCGCTGTCCCTGTCTCTTGCTGTTGCTCCGTCGGTCGTGCCATTGGGACTCGCAGCATGTCTCCGGTGCTCGACTGGCGGTGGGCGGACCGTTTGCTGTGATGGCGCGAGGGAGGGGCGAGTCGCTGTCTTGGCTTCAAGACACGGGCCAGATTTTGCGTCGCATTCTTTTTTACCGCATGAACACGAGCATGCATGACCCTCTGACATCTGACGGTGGAGGCGAGAGGAAGACTCACCCGCCCAAAGAAAAAGCCAGGCGGAGCCAGGCATCACGACGCTGGCCAGGCCAGGCCAAGCCAGGCCAAGCCCAGCCAGCCCGGACTTCCCATGCCTCGCGATCTGTACGAGCCTGCCCCGTTCCAATCGTTTGCCTGTGTGGCCCCCTCGACGATCTCGCCACGAAAGAAAGATTGCCGTCAAACCCCTCCTGCTCGACGTTTCGCAGCACACGAGCCCTCGAATGGGGTGGTGGATTGTTCGTATCCGCTGCCTCACGAGGTTGGGTGCAGAACGGTCAACGCGGCTAGCGATGCAAGCCTAAGGCGATTCGGGGAGATCGGAAGAGCGTCGATAACGGACTTCCGCGTTGGTCATTGGAGGAGGCAAAGACCACACACAGCACAGGCAGTCTGAGGCAGACCTTCGGACGACTGACCGTGTCCTCCGGGGCGCCTCAGCCTGCTCGGTAGCCATTGTGGCTCGTTGAACAGACTGCCAGGATCAATAACACCAGCCTATACCCAAGACGCCCCTTCAACCTCAATGACGAGGTCAAGTCCCGGCCATCAATATCAGTGGCAGCTTCTCAGTGGGAAGTTCTCAGTGGGAAGGGAGAATGGGCGGATCCATCCACGAGACACTATCTTACCGAGCCGCAGGTAAACAACAAAAAGTCTGGGGGCACACTTGACAGGGGGCTGATCACTCACTGCCTTTTTCTTCTCGTGCATATGCACCTTGCGTTTCGCCGTTTCAATTTCAATGTCCAAGATTGGTTCGGCCTAGCACCTCAAGCTTCCCCTCCATCCTTTCCCCCACGACAAGGGCCATTTACGGAGTGCGGAAGAGTTCCAAGCTTTCCACGGGGCTGTGCGAGCTTGATGTTGAGTAAACTGGTGGTTTCTAGCGGCATTCGTTTGTTCCGATGGCTAGTGCGCAAGCTTGTGTTGCTCTCCGCGCACTCTCCTCATCGTGGCCCACTGCGGGCAAGCTGTAGCGACGCCTCTTGCCGCCAACCTGGGCTCATCTGAGTGCGGACAAAGACCCGAGCCCTGAAGTCATTCGACCATGGACATGCCGATGAGCTGTTGCCTGCAGAGCTGGCTGGGCAGCTGAATGCTTGCCTCAGGTCGAGGTTCAATGTTGCAAATCGCCGTTCTTCGTGGATAGAGGAGAAACTCGAGGCATCCATGCCATGGATAATTGCCAGCACTGGGCAAAGACTGGTGCTAAGGCGCCAGAAAGAACCTTGTCACTCGCACATCAACTTTCACTGAAGTGTCCCGATACACAATGGTCGCCGTCACCGGATCCACCTGAGCATGTCCTCCCTGATGGATGGGACTGGCATGCTTCCTGAGGTGGTGTAGCATCAGAGGGCTGCCCCGCGATGCTGATAGTAATAGTGCCCCACCATTCCTCATGACGGGACGCAATGGAGAGGCAGCTAGCGCGCAGGATTGGTTGCAGAGCATTTGCGATCACATCACCCAGCCACGCTGCCTGCTGTGACGACTGGGATCAGAACCGGGATCAGGCCTAACCCTTCCAGAAGCACTCGTCAGAAAGCTTCACTTCCATGCGATCCGGGCAGCAAGGCCATCACCCATCCTTCTCAATTGACCAGTCCCGCATCACCGATTGCAACCATCAGATCCGCACGACTACGACTGCGCCTGAACACCCCAACAATATTATTACAGCTGCCGCACGGCGTACCGAGAAGCGCAGGTTGAGAACGAGGCTCTCCCGATTCCTCGGATTCCGCCCAGACGAACCTTTGACATTGCATCCGAGAGCCACGGCGCACGCTTCAGGCTTCTTCCAACGCTCGGTACACTGCCATTCTGCATGGTTTCATGGACCCCGCCACCGACCTGGAGGCCCGCAGCACTGGCAACGGCACTGGCCATGATGATGGTGTAGGCGGAGCCAGCAATGGCTCAGGCACCAAGCTCACGACTCCCACGAATGCCGTCGGGACGGCTGCCAATGGCCCGCCGAGCTCTGACGATGACGACGCCGCGCACGACGACTCGGACACGTGGGCATCTGCCGTTACCAGTCCGGCGTCCATCACTTCGCCCCCATATTGGACGAACAGCCACTCCCACCAAAGGTCCATATCCAACATGTCGGCCGAGTCGGTCCTGCCGGCAGGCGCCATCACCATGCAAGATCACGAGGTCAGCGACCCCGACCATCGCAATAAGGCTTGTTGGGCGAAGAGCGTCGAGATTGTTGATCACGTTGTGATCAACGGCAGCGCGACCAACATCGGTGCCTTTGTGGTTTGGAATATCAAAGTCGAGACGCTGCGGGTCAGTTGTCCCTCCCTTTTTCTGTAGCAGACAGATGGCATGTGATGGTGTACTGACTGGAACTGCCCACTTCTCCAGGGAAGTTATATGAACATCCGCAAGCGCTACTCCGAATTCGACGATCTGAGGGAGAAGCTGATGATGACATTTCCACACTTTGAGGCTGCCGTTCCGCCTCTCCCACCGAAAAGTGTGATATCGAAGTTCAGACCCAAGTTCCTCGACAAGCGGCGGCAGGGCCTCCAATACTTCCTCAAGTATGTTCAGCCCAGCCCCCCCCCCTCTCTGACGCTCGCAACTAGCAGTACATGTCGTGAAAACGATGGCTAACCGCCGTAGCTGTATTATGCTCAATCCCGAGTTCTCTGGGTCTCCGGTGCTCAAGGATTTTCTTTTCTCGTGACACAACACATTGGAATAGCGTACATATAATCTCCAGTTTCACCCGACACAGGTTGCCGGAGCGGATTGAACATAAGAAGCACTGCTATCACAATACGATAATGATAATGTTTTGGATGGCCAGCTTGGCGCGCTTAGCTTGAACAAATCCCCCAGACATGACGACTTGTCTGACGACAAGAGATACTGCCGCTGTGACGTGGAGAACCGTAGTGGACAGCAACACCAGTGGAATGCAGCAAGGACGGGCAGGGAACCCCGATGCTCCCCTTCTCGGACCGGCCCGGGGCTTCCTCGACCCCGAGATGACTTGTCTTGAGTGGCTTGTTGCGACCGGGCGGAAGACGAATTTGGTGGGCACAAGATGGCCATCGCTGGCCTGTCATGTTGCCGTGGGGTCGCGCCAGGTAAAACTCATCGGGCGTCCCTGCAGGTTGACGCGTAATGCCAGGCGTTTTCGGAGGGGGGGTCTCGACGAGTGGGAGCTTCACTCAGCCCACCTCGGCCACCTCATCCGGGTGGCAGGGCTCGGTGTATCCTTTGCTCGTGCGCTTACATGGCACTTCACACTGCCACAAAGAAACCAGGTCGAGCGCCAGGCACGATATAACAGAAAGGGGTTGTTTCCCTCGACCGAACGGATCCGGCCTTCTGCTTCACCTTGTTGGTCTAAGGTGTTACGCTTTGGCGCTTGTTGGAGATGGTGTCAGTGCCAGGCGCATTTCGTCCTTCAGCTTTGCCCAGCCCTAGGAAGACGCGGCATCATCCTTGTCCCCTCTCGTAAGTGACTCGGATCCGTGTCCAAGACGATTGAAAGTCTTGTCAAAGTCTTGTCCGACCCGTTGCTGCTTATTTCGGCCGGCGACCCGCCCCTGAGCACTACTTGTTATATCCACGTCTTCCTCGAAAGATTTGGGCCGTCTGGCCATGGGGCTCTTCGTTCAACGCTGCACTTCTAGGCTTTCCCTTTCTGTCCGAAGACACCGCCGGCAGTTGGATGCCGACAGCCAATACCACCTGGCAAGTACCGTCTGGCACGCGACGCAGACCCCTGCCAGAATAGTCCACGATTGATCTAGCAATGACGTATCCCTCCACCACACTATCGTCGCCCATCGTGGTAGGCCCGACCGAGACCCTGATCAAGAAAGCTGCCCCTCCAACACGCAGTGCGCCGACCTTAACCTATCTGCCATGCAACCCAACGCCCCCCGCCAGCCCTTCGTGTGTCCCAGTCAAGACAACATCGTTGACGGCGGCGACGAAGAAACTCGACACAACAAGTAGCATCCCCACAAATCGACCACCGGCTGTCTCTTACAGTTCGCGCAAGGCCTACCTGGACTCCTTGATCCCGCCATCCACCGAAGAGTTCAACAAAATCTCCCAAGTGCAGCACGGGCGTGAAGTAGAGACGAGGAAGAGGGCCCGTCAAGTTCGACGTGAATCCGTCTTGCCGCTCCCATCGCCAGACACCATGCCCCGCCCCACGAGCGAGCAGTCGAGCCTGCGCAGCCAGCCGAGGCGGAAAAGCATCGAGGCCTTCCGTTCCAGGAGAGCTGCCAAGGTCATCCAGCGCAGCTACCGCGGGTACCGCTCGCGGCGAGAGAGCAAGGGCCTCGAACTCGCGGCCTCGACGCGGTGGGTGGCTGCGATCCAGGAGGCGCAGTTTCGCGAGACGACCAAACCGCGCGCGCGCGAAGCCATGGCGCCGGAGACTGGCGAGGCGCCCACCATGCTGTCGAGGGAAGACGACGGCAAGGTGCACCGGGGTGCCACGGCGCGGGAGAACTGGAAAAAGGCCGCCATGATTGCTCGCCGCGCAGGCCAGGATGACGCTGACTGCGACGCGGAATCCCTGACGCACATGTCCTTGTCATCGTCCAGTGATGCTGATGGAGAGATGACCGAGAAACGCAAATGCCGCGAGGAGGCCACGGCGAAGAGGAAGCAAGACTCTCAGATGATGGGGCTGCAGTACTTCCTGGAGATGGTCGACCTCAAGCACCGATACGGCAGCAACCTACGAACGTACCACGAAGAGTGGAAAAAACACGACACAAACGAGAACTTCTTTTACTGGCTCGACTACGGCGAGGGCCAGACTATCGACATGGCTGCCTGCCCGAGGGACCGTTTGGAGCGCGAGCAGGTGCGGTACCTGTCGCGAGAGGAGCGGCAGCACTATCTCGTCAGCATTGACGAGGAAGGCGCGCTTTGCTGGGCCAAGAATGGCGAGCGCATCAACACGACCGAGGACTACCGCGACAGCATCTGCGGCATCGTGCCCCGGGACGACCCCACCCCGGCGTGGTCGACAGCGCGCGACATGCCGCCGACGCCGGAGCCTGAAGCGGACGCGAACGACAGCCGATCCGAGTCGTCGATCGAGTCGGCCCTCGAGGCGGACCGCGCGGCCAAGTACGCGACACCCGAAGTCGACGACGAGAAACCGCATCGCAAGGTGATGCACGTGTCTGCGAGCACCATCTTCAACAAGATGCTCCGCAAGTCTGTCCGCAAGAACACGTGGATCTTTGTCGCCGACACCAACTTTCGGCTGTACGTGGGCATCAAGAGCTCGGGGGCGTTCCAGCACTCGTCGTTCCTCCAGGGCAGCCGCATCTCGTCGGCGGGGCTCATCAAGGTCAAGGACGGCAAGATCAAGTCGCTGTCGCCGCTCAGCGGACACTACCGGCCGCCGACGTCCAACTTTCGTGCCTTCATCCGCAGCCTGCGGGAGTCGCGCGTCGACGTGTCGCACGTGTCCATTTCCAAATCGTACGCCGTCCTCGTCGGGCTCGAGACGTACGTGCGCACCCGCAAGAAGGGCAAGCACGTCATGCAGAAGATGAGCCTGAATAAGGACAAGCTCGTCGCGCCCGAGGCGGTGGCGCGCCGGGAGGAGGAGGAGCGGGACAAGAGCGAGAGCGCCGCGCGCGAGAGGGAGATCCTCGAGGCGGAGGCGGCGCGGGAGCAGCGGGAGAGGGAGGAGAACTCGGCCGCGGTGAAGCTCATGCGCAAGCTGCATATTGCGCCGACGGATGAAGACGACGACAAGGATGCATCGACGGGCAATAACGCGCAGCCAAGTCCCGGGGAGAGGGTGGACGAGGGGGATGTTTCGACACAGGGTGGCACGACGGCGAGGACCCCGGCGGCCGCTTGAGAGTGTGAAGGGCATGGTTATGAAGCATGATACCGGCATGGGCATGATGTCGTCTTGAGCATGATACCGGCATGGGCATGATGTCGTCTTGAGCATGATACTGGGATGAGCATGGGATGGGCGATTGGCTTTGTTATACCCTCGCATATTACCCGCTGGACGGCATAGCATTCGTCTATATCGAGCACTCCGTTTACGTTAGGTAACTACTTGATACAGCAGGTCTATCTATGTATGATGTCTCGGGTGACAGGGATCAAAGAAGATGTAGAGGCATGTGATGAGGTGCTAAGCATGAGCAGACTTTCGACTCTGTTTTTTTTTTTTTTTTTTTTTTTTTTGGCCAGAACTTGGCAGAATCAATGTGTGGTTGCTTGATATCATCGCAAATCATGGGTGGTGTACATAGGACTGATGTTCACAGATGCACCGAACCGGACCCAGGTAAGGCAGGTACGGTAATAGGACAGGCCTAATTTCACTGCATCTTGTTGTGAACAATCAACCTTCATGAATGCGCCATGGCAATGGCGTGTCGATGCAGACGTCAATTCGTCCGATGCACGTCATGACACCACCCAGCAGCAGATGAGCGTGTCCGGCGTGCGTGATGGATTCCACAGGCGCTGGAAGGCAAAGCACAGAAGGGTCCCTCTGCCACTCGGTCCCTACCGTAAGGTAATGTACCTACCTAAAGGCAAGGAAGGTCCCAGCTCTCGGCGGCAGAGAAGAGTCCCCCCCCCCCCCCAGAGGCGTTTGCACAGAGAGGGGACCAAACCAAACCAAACCACCCCAAAACCGACCCAGATTCCAATTGAATCCCTTCCAAACGAAACGACGAGCGACCGAAAAAAAACAACACGCTCCATCCACCCTCGAGAAGCGATCTCGATTCAATTGCCCACAGCCCATCGCCACGCAAACGGCAACGCGGACGCGCCGGAGACACGTCCCTCCCCCGAACCATGAATGGCCGTCCAAACAGCGTCCATGGCATCGATTACGCGCTCCAGCAGAAGGGCGCCCTCCACTGCTGCTGCCGCCGCTGCTCCTGATGCCCACGCCAACGCGCCCTTCCACACAGCTCGCAACAGCACCCAGAACATTCTCTCGCACGCTGCCAACGGTGGTCGCACGAAGCGTCACCTGAGCATCTCCGACCGCAACTACGACCTCGAGCCTGTGAGCCCCGCGAAGCGACCGCGCACCGAGTTTGAGATCGTGCTCAAGTCGTCGCGCGCCACGCCCCCGAAGCACGCTGCTGCGAAGCCTGCCCCGCCCGACGCGGTGCCGCCGACGCTCAAGCCAAAGCAACCACCAACACAACCACAATCACAGCCGCAGCAACCGCAACAACCACTGCATCACCCACGACCGCAACCACCACCAAAAAAGCAACAGAAGCTGCCATTTCTACCCGTGAGACGCGAAACCGCCGTCGTGAGCCAGCCACCGCCTGCCGTACCCCCACCCGCGAAGGACGATGCCGCCGCCCAGTTGACCAAGCACCGCGCCAAGGTGATCAACGGCATCCGGCACGAGCTCGACCGCCTGCAGCCCGACACCCAGTCCGACACCCACCCCCCTGCCGAACCCAAGGAACAACAACAACAACAGCAGCAGCAGCAGCAGCAGCAGCAGCAGCGTGGCGGGCGCAAGCTGCGCTCGCAGGAGGCGACACGCTTCAAGAGCGACCTGTCGGCCTACTTTCCTGACTATGACGAGGTCATCGGCAACGACCCCAAGGAGGAGCACCTGCTGAACGTCGAGACGCCCATTGTCGTCGTCGACACCTTTCCGCGCTACTTCCGCGGCAAGGTCGTGGCGCCGCTGTTCACGCCGACCCAGGCCGAGCCGGTGCCCGCTGGCTACGACCACGGCGACTACCCCGTCCGCGGCTACGGCGACGCGCTGTTCGACGACCCCTTTGACTCGCAGCGCATCAACTTTGACTTTCTCGGCAAGAGCTACAAGGGCAAGACGCTCGACAGCGCCCTGCCGGACGCCTTGTACCTGCCGATCCACAAGAGGGCCGAGAGGCTCGAGAGGTCGATCCGGAACACGGAAAAGGGCAGGGCGCAGCACGAGAAGGACCAGATCGTCAGGCTGCTCGAGGGCCTGCAGGGTCACGACTGGCTGCGGATCATGGGTGTCAGCGGCGTCACGGAGAGCAAGAAGAAGTCGTTTGAGCCTGCGAGGCGGCACTTTATCAAGGGCTGCCAGGCCATCATTGACAAATTCCGTCAGTGGGCACAGGAGGAGAAGAGGCGCAAGGCGGAAAAGGAACGCGCTCTGGCGGAAGAGGCTGACGAAGAAGAGGACGACGAGGAAGAAGAAGACGACGAGGAGGAGGCTGGGGAGGATGAAGAGGCTGTGGAAGATGAGGACGACGAGGCAAAGCCGGAAATCGGCGACAGCGAAGAAGAAGACGACGATGACGTTCATGCTAGTGACGGCGACCCACCCGACGAGCTAGATTTTGACGCCTCGATCGCGAGACAGCTTCGCGAAGAAGCGGCGGCCAGAGCCAACATGGCGAAGTCCAGCCGGAAGCGACCACGTGGCGCGTCGATTCAGCCAGAAACACCCCTGCCACCACCGCGGGAGTTCAAATCATTCTTCAAGAAGAAGCACGAGCGTGACGCGGCGCTTAACAAGCATCGCCGGGCGGGGCGTCGGGTGTTGGCCTGGGGTGAGCCGGTGCCTGAACTCGAGGCGCGGGAGTTCGAGCTACCCGAGGAGTATCTCGACCCCGAGACCATGAAGGCTCACGCCCGGAAGAGGCGGCGGCAGCGCCGTGGTAGCAGACATTGACGGGCTTGTGGGAGTGGGAGTGGGTATGTGCGATATGTGATATCATTCGAAACCCTGTGCTTGGGATTACTCGAACAGTGTAGTATGCGTTTTTTTATGATACCAGTCGGAGCTGGCAGGCAAAGGGTTATTTTTTGGGGGGGGGGGAATGGAGGGCACGGAATGCGGCTTTCTCCTGGTACCTCATGGTAGGAACATGCGATCAGTAAGGCGTTTGACCCTTTCGTCAGAGCGTCACGGTGTTTCGTGATGGTCGTGACGAAGGAATTGAAGTTTTTTTTTCATACAGTGCCACATTGGCAAGTTCTGCTTGCGCTGACCAGAATACTTTCGTGGTTGTACTTGTAAAGTCCCAGTTCTACGGCCAGCAGAACACAGTCACGAGCCACATCCCTCCGGGACAACATGACATGCTGTGGTTTTAGGGTTATGTATTGCTAGGATCATCTAGGCAGCGCCGTAACTCCCAGGTATCTCGGCGTCATTTTGCCAACATCCTAGAGGCGGTATGTGCAAAGGGGTTCGATGCATCAGCCGAAAGAACCAACTTGATCACATAGTATCAACTGCGCACTGTTCCGTGCCTTTGTCCCAACTCTGACCGAGTAGAAGGGTCGAAAGCAGGGATGAGGATCATTTTATGTCGTCATCCTACCATTGCCAGGCCCCGTGTGTATATCTCGACCCACGCAGCTCACCGCGTCGCAGAGGCGCTCCCTGTGTCAAGATACCAGAATGGCGAAAGAGCCTACATGAAGGTCACGATGGAAGCGGCGGCTCACTTGGGCAAGGCTTGAAGCGGCGTCTACTGATAGGGACGTGGAAAGCGAGGTGCACAATGGGTTTGATATGGCGTTACTCTGAACTCATATCAGACCTCAAATGAGTATTTGATCCGCTGATCGTGCTAGGCTCAAAACCCCCATCTTGGACGCTTCCAACAGCACCTGGCCAGTCGCGACAACGTGGTGGCACCTTTTTCAAGCGTGGAACAGTCGGACCGAAACCAGGAGGCATAGGTGTCTCGGGCTTGCCGTCGTTTGATTCTACGTAATCATCGGGAAGCGCGTGGATCATCACGTCTTCGCCTCTTAGAAGCTTCACCATCTTCAAGAAGCCACTTGATGAAAGCAAGTCGTTCCGCCTGGTGTTACTCAGGTAAGCAAGCGTACAAGTAGAAGGAGGGGCTTGCGACCCCTGGCCTGAAGTAGCTCTACGGATTATTAATATGGGAAAGTACAAAGTCCTCGAGTCGGGACCCACTGGTAGCTTCCCCTTGGCACGGTCCAGTCGCGGATACCTGAGGTAATCAGTTGCAGACGCGCCGTTCTGAGCTGCCGCATCTCGACAGCACCCAAGGTTCTATCAGCCAGGCTTCGCATCTCGTCCTACCTGCCTGGTTGACTCCGCTCAACATCCTTCCCCAGCATCTCTCCACCGTGGGGTCGATTGAGGCAACGCCGCCGTTTTTCTTCGTTCGCAACGCCTCTTAACCTTCTTTCTGTTCCGTCATCTAGGTCCCCCTCCGACGCCCCCCCCCTGCCCGACCCAGACTTCTGTGAAAGAAAGGTCGGACTTTGCCAGGATGACCGAACGTTCCCGCCAGCGACACTCCTAGATCCAGTTATTGCCACGGCGCATCAATTGCCAGTTGCCATGTCTGCGCCATCATCCCATACCGAAGCCGAGCCGGCGGAGCTGGACATATTCGAGAGCCTACCTCATCCCAAAGATGAACCTATGCGCCCATACTTTGTCATCAGGCAAGATGTCGAACTCGAGATCAACTTTCGGGAAAAGCGCATCGTCGGCAAGTGTGAGATCACGATCGCTAGCGTTCGGGGCCACAGCATGGAAGAGATTGCCATCGACGCGCGACAAACGGAGATTGACGTCGACAATATCGAGATTGAGCTGCTGAAAGACACGCAACCCGTCGGCGCACCAAGGAAGATCGCGGCCACGTATGAGGATCCCTACAAGCTCCTGGACTATCCGAGTCACTACAACTGGAATGCGACGCATCACGACCTTAGAAGGCTCCGCATGCGACCCCTCACACACTCGCGACGGAAGGACGCAGCCGCTGAAGATAGGGAAACAGTTGGCTCAACGCCCGTCGACGGGTCCATTCGCATCAACCTGAAAGACCTGGAAAGAACGAAGGACTTGAAAGAGGAAGGCAACCAGAAGCGGCCGATCAAAATCCGGGTTTCATCGGCAAACCCAGGATCCTCCACCACCGAATCTCCATTTGACCCGAATCCTCTGGTTTCACAAGAATACCGTGTGACCATACCATTCACCACCAAGAACATTCGAGACGGAATCCAGTTTGTTGGGGTCGACCCAGGCGATTTCAAGTGGCCTCATGTCTACACGCGGCACTCTATCGAACCGGGAACTGCGTCGTGCATTTTCCCATGCATTGATGACCATGGCCAGAGCTGTGCCTGGTCCCTTGCCATCAAGTTTCCAAAGACGTTGGGCGATGCTCTGCGTCAACCTCTTGCGACCCAGAACGGTGTGAACGGTCATTCCCGCAGCGCCAGCCAGAAGTCACAGCCGCACAATGACGATTATGCGCTCTCTGAAGAGGACAAGCTTCTGGAAATGACGGCCATCTGCTCAGGTTTTATCGCCGAGGAGTTGATCGACCCAACGGATGACTCCAAGAAGATCATGCTATTTGAGCTTGACAAGAAGGCGTCTGCCCAGAAACTAGGCTTTGCCGTTGGGCCCTTTCAGCTTGTTGATGTCTCTGCAGCCTTCCGCCCCGAGGCGGATGACGAGAAACTCGGGGCAAACGCGCTGAAAATACAGGCCTTCTGTTTGCCTGGGCGTGCCGAGGAAACATTAAACACGTGTCAAGCTCTTCCGTCAGCGGCCGACTTTTTCACCCTCACTTTTGCACGTTATCCTTTCGAGGAGTACCGACTCTGCTTTGTCGATGACATGGTGAACGACACAATTGCCGTACACTCGTTGTCACTTGTGAGCACGCGCCTGCTCTACCCAGAGAACGTTGTCGACCCTGATGCGGAGGTTGACATCTCGAGGAAACTTGTGCAGAGCTTGGCCGTCCAATGGAGCGGCATCAATCTTCTTCCTAGCCGGCGTAACGACCTGTGGGTCGTTATCGGCATAGCTTACTACATGGCCGACTTATACCTCAAGAAACTGTGCGGTAACAACGACTACAGATTCCGCATGAAGTCCATGGTCGACGAGCTGGTCGAGGTTGATACGGGGCGGGCATCACTCTACGACCTCGGCCGCAGCTTGCATGTTGGCGACTTTGAGATGGACTTTATGACTTTGAAGGCGCCCCTTATCATGTTCATTCTTGACAAGAGGCTTGCGAAAGCACCTGCGCAAACAAACCTCACCCGGATCATTTCGAGGATTCTGTACAAAGCGAACATCGGAGAACGTCAGGGCGACTGGCTGATTAACACGGAGTCCTTCCGGAGATTCTGCGAGAAGAACTCTAAGAGCAAACTTGAATCATTTTGGAAGCAGTGGATCTACGGCACAGGCTGCCCACGATTCGATGTCCAGCAAAAGTTCAACAAGAAAAAGCTCTGCGTCGAGATGATGGTTCGCCAGGTTCAAGTCAAGGAGAGGGACTCGAATCGGGCTCTTGACAAGAATGATTTCCTGCGACTGGTGAAAGAAAAGTTATACGACGTCGCCATAGGCGAGATCCAGCCCTGGTTCACGGGACCTATGACCATCCGCATTCACGAGGCAGACGGTACACCTTACGAGCACATAGTTGAGGTGCGCGAAGACGCCGCGGCCATGAAGATGTGCAAGTTCGACATCCCCTACAACACAAAGTACAAGCGCCTGAAGCGTAGTCGACGTCAGCGCGATAGGGCGGCTGCACAGACCACGGCCGACGGCGAAGTCAACGAAGACTCCCTCCTGTACTGCCTGGGCGATGTTCTACAGAGCCAAGACGACATTCAAGAATGGGACTTGCTCGACTGGCCTGCTGACATGGAGAAGAAGATGGACCAGGAATCTTACGAATGGATTCGTATGGATGCCGACTTTGAGTGGATTTGCACGATGAAGACAAACTCCGAGTCGTACATGTACGTCTCGCAACTCCAGCAAGATAGGGATGTGGTTGCGCAGCAGGATACAATGCTCTACTTGGGCAGGTCTCCGCCTCATCCACTCGTCTCTTCCATTCTCACGCGTACTTTATTCGACAAGCGCTACTTTCATGGCATTCGCACGATGGCAGCCAGCCAGCTCCACAGACATAGCGTTCCGGGCCCGAAAGATTCCATGGTTGGCCTCTTTCACTTGCTACGAGCATTCACTCAACTTTGCTGTTTCCCAGGCACACAGATGCCCCGTCCCAACGACTTTTCGGATCGGAAGCAATATCTTGCCCAAAGCGCAATTCCACTGGCCATCGCAAGGGTGCGGGATGCAAATGGCAAATGCCCTGAGCGGGCACGGCACTTCCTCTTGGAGCAGGTCCAGTTCAACAATAACGCTAACAACCCGTTTTCCGACAACTTTTATGTGGCAAAGCTCCTAGAGGCGCTTGCCACCAGCATGATCCCCGATAAGCGACCGGACACGGAGGTGATGCTCGACGACATCATACGGACGGATGAGGAGGACCAATTCCTCCAAAACGCTCTCACTGAAATTGACCGATACCGCAGGATGGACGAGTGGGCAAACTCTTACCACAATATTTGGACCATCACAGCGCTTGATTGCAAAAGACGTCTCATGAAAGCCGGGGTCATTCCCAAGGATGGCCTTGATTTTATGCAGTACCTGCAGGATGAGACATACGATCTCGTTCGTATTAAGGCTTTTGAGGCTCTGGTCGATCTTGGCTTCATGATGGACGATGTTGTCTTCCCTCATCTGCTTCGCACGCTGAGCACAGACAAGTCGCCATTCGTGCGCCACAAGTTGCTCAAGGTCTTCAGCATTGGCCTTGCCGGCTTGGCATTTGGTGAATT